GACCCGGTCCCGGGGGGGTTTGGGGATCGCGCATCCTTTCCCAGCCGAGCGGGTGCATCTCACCGGATTGATGTGGGACCCTGCCTCCAGGGTGCCTTTGCCCCCTGTGTCCCCCATCAACCCTGCATCAGGGCCAGTTGGGACAAACTGGGTCCCAGTTTACCTTTGCTCGGTCAGATGGGTGAAAAGCCAGCGGCTTGTAAAGCAAGCCTGTGGGGTAAAGCGCTTGTCAGGGGAAATTATGGTCATAGAAAGGGAGGTGGCTGGTGTTTCCAGATGGAGCTGATCGGATACGAGAGTTTCCCTAGCTGGGGAAGATGCCGGTGGTCTCGTAAAGCCATGGAGGGCCTGATCCCCACCCTGCTGGGAAGCGGCTGCGTTCCCACATGTGTGCGATTCCCGCCTGCAGCTTGTGGCATCGGGCTCACGTAGCTGTTAGGCTTTGATCTGGGATATGAATAAACCTGCCAGAGCTTTGGGCCAACTTTGCAGAGGGCTGGCAGGTCCCCGGAGGGAGCAGAGGGAGGCTTTCAGGGGGACTGCTGCTTGCTGCTGCTGAACGGTGGCCTGGGACTGCAGAGGAGTAGGTGGTGACATGGTGTAGCACAGGGGTCCTGGCCTTTCACCGGTCTTCCAAGGTGCTACAGAAGCACCAGCCAAAAATGATAACAGAGGGGTGAGGGGCATCGCTCTGACTCTGCGGGCTGGGACCACGCTGAAGTCCCAGGGCGGTTCAGGCACTGCTGCGTCTGCAGCTCTGGGTCAGCCCCAGAAAGACCCGAGGGTCAAGAGTTCCCCTTTGCGATGTAAAAGGATGGGGTGGTGTTTCCGCAGTGGAAACACAGTCGTGAGGAGTTTGACTCTTGGGCTGCAGCTCGTGGTGTCGGTGCTCGGAGAGCAGGGCCAGTGCCCAACAGCCTGGGAGGGGACAGAGACGGTGACAGGGACAGCCTTCCCCTGCGGCTGCAGCTCTGCCAGCCAGCCGGAGTGGCTTTGCGAGCTCTGAAGGAGGGTGTTGTTGCGGGAGGGGAGTGTTGTCAAATGACACATGATGACAGAGCTGTCCTTCAAGGTCCCAGAGGACCTCAGCGAGGGGGAGACCCGAGGGTCTTGGCTTCCCCGTTCTCTTGCTGCGCGAGCTGGTAGGAGGCCACTCTGTTTGCGTTCCAGCCCACCCCAAAAATCAAACCTGGGACCTCACAGTAGGGAAGGGCAGGGGCTGCCCGGCACGCTGTGGACACCATGCTGGAGCACTGTGGAGATGGGCCCGAGCATGGTGCGGCCCCTGTGCGGGCTGGCCCTGCTGGGGGAGAGCTGCTCTGCTGTGTTATCCCCCTCACTGGTGCCTTCTATGGTAGCAACGGCAGTGCCTGCCTGCTTTGCTTTGAGTGCTTTTAATGAATTGCTGTTGGCACCTGGATGGCTCTTTGCTAATGTAAGCCTCCTCCAGACCCTCCTGCTCATCGCCCAGAGCCACTGGATCGTTCTGGGGGCTGCGGCTCATGGGGGGAAGGTGTGGGGGTCTCCCCAGGCTCCCTTCCCTACTGAGAGGGGTGCTGGATCCAGCGATGGGTAGGAGCTCTGTGTCCCATTCCCAGCCTCTGGCAGCCCCTCTCTTCACCTGGAGCTCCACTCAGCCCCTGTGTGTATCCTGACTTGCTCTTACTTTATGA